TTAGGGCTGTTATACATAGGGTCGCTATGACTCACAAGCGACTCGACAGCACATAACAACAACAACAGGTGGGGACATAATCCAGTGAGAACCAGGCTGGAGCAGAGCAGGATGTGACTAGACAAAATGTAGGAACAGAGACAGAAGTTTAAGGTTCAGGTGCAAATCCAAATCATCAGGGATAGAGAAAAAGGAGCAGTTATAATATCCCCAAACAGGTGCCCTCCTTCACTGGGAAATTCCTAGGTTTCAAGCGTCATGTAAATACCCTTTGTATGATTCCTGACATCTACTTACAGATATCATTTTATTTCCTCCTCACAGCCATGCTGTGCCATGGATGCCATTGTTATTTCTATCTTAGAGATAAGAAACAGAGGGGATGCTGCCACTTGTTCAGAATCGTAGCTAGTGTAAGTGATGGACTGGCACTCAAGCACAGGCCCCATGAATCCACAGCCTAACCACTTCAGCACTACGGCTGTACAGCCACTGAGCTGGAAGAGACTTTTTAAAATAAACACACTCAATAGTTCTGCTCTGGTGATTAATTAGTGATGAGGTGAAGAAAGAGAATGATTCAGAAACACTCAAGTCCTGGGGGCCGGGAAAATTCTAGTGTCTTTGATGATAAAACCAGGGAAACAGAATCCTTCCCATAGCATGAACAGTGCATTCCCAAGTGGCTTGTACTTCCCTAAGAGGTTATGCATTTATTTGGAGTAGCTGTCTCCTGAGAGTTGGCAGCCCTTCACTGCTAGCTGGTCTTCTTAACTGGCAGCCTAGGACTCTTCCTGGTGACTTGATGCATATTGCTCACCCATGGGACACAGAAACCATGGCTGCCAAGACCTGCAGCCGAAACAAGCCCCCTCGTTATCATTCAGGCTGGAAAACGACCTTGAGTGCTTTTCAAAGCTGTCAAAGTACACAGCAGCTGTGAATGAATTTGTCACTCACACAGCTTGGCTTCCTAAGGCTCAGCCTCTGCAACCAGCCCACCAAAGGGCTGCAAACCTGATTAATATCCATGGAGAAATTGGCCTTGGTGAACCATTTCCATTTATAAGAACACACACAGTCACATAAAAATGCATTGAACTTTGATTTTTTTAATTGCATACTCTTTTCCCTTTGGGAAAGTATAACCATGAAGGAGAAGTGAAAACAGAGAAGTGTTACAAATTAATCTCCTCTCTGAAAGGAGGCATTTTCAAACATAGCCCATGCTCAGGGATCTCTGATCAAGACTCATGCCCCTCCCCTCTGACCCTGCAAATCTTATCTTATTCTGAGACATTTTTGAGGCTAGATGTAGCCCCCAACTTCAAGGTGTGAGGCATCATGAGAGAGGCTGGGGCAGCCACTGACCATGATAGATAAGAGGAGTCATTTTCTGAAGAGTCACTCTTGGTTGGGAAGAGGACCAAGAACCATTTACTTGCATTCTTTGAACAGTCATTGGGTGTCTGCTCTGTTGCTGACCCTATGCTCAGTACTGAGGAAACAGAGAGGAATAGGACATGCTCCCCACTCTCCAGGCTTCTGGTGGGGGAGATAGGCAAAGGAATAATAGAGGCAACACAGTATGACAGGTGTTTTTCAGAAGAGAGGCAAGGTTAGAAGAGAGGAGAAGAAACAAGCTGTGCTCAAGAAAATGCTGGCCTCACAGAGGGGTAGGAGTTTGATCTGGATCTGGAATGAGGAGGAGTTTGTCAGAACAAAGAGAGGAGGGCAGGAGAGAAGGACGTTTTAGACATGAAACAGCATATAAAAACACACAGAAGCATCAGACCATGTGACTCCCAGACACTATTTGGTGTAGAGGGTCCATGAATAGCTGAATGGAGATGACATTCAAGTTGTAGCCAGAAGTCTTTCTTGGTTTATCCAAGTTCTGTTCTGTGTAACAGAGTCACCGAGGGGTTTTAGGAGCACTGGAAGAGTGTGATGATGTAGTTTTCATAAAGTCATTCCAGTCACTTTGTTGAACATGAACTGGCAGAGGAGTAACTTGAAGTAGAGAGACCCTAGGAGGATAATTGTAGAAATTTAGGTAGCTTTGGAGAAAAGGGAATTTATTAAAAATACAATCAGAAGGGAACCGTAAGAAATGATGAAAAGAGACCAGTCAAGAATGGCTCAGTTTCTGGTTTTGACAGGTGAAAGGATAGAGCGTCTACCTAAGTTAGAGGAAACGGGACCAAAACCCAACCCAGTAATGCTGCAGTTCTCAATCTTGACGCTCCCCCACTTGGATTATGAGGCTGTAAATCTTCAGGGGAGGAGACTGTCCACCTTTCTCCCTCTTTATTATAGCTTACAGCCAATGACAGTGCTCACCATTTGCCAGGTACTTTCATATACCAACTCAATTAATCTTCACAGCAGTCTCTTGAGGCAGGCATTATGATTACTGCCCTTCAGAGGCACAAGGAGGTGAAAATGTGTTGTTCAAGGAGATAGACATTAAATGGTAGATCTGGGTTTACCATAAAGGGGAAGACAGTCCAAAGTTGACTCTGCCTCTCTATATATATGTGTCTAAGATTTCAAGTACTATGAGGATGCTGCTGACGATTACCGAGATCAGGAGGGCACCCTGCTGCCACTCTGGAAATTCCAAAATGACAAAGCCAAGCGCCTGGCTGTCACCGCCCTCTGCTGGTAAGTGTAGGCATTGCAATAACCCCAGCTACTCGCTCACGCCCTCCCCTGCCCCCCCAACCCTCCACCACGCCCACCCCCTCTAGCACCACACGTGTGCCAAGCCTTGAGTAGGGCACTTCAGCTGCACTTGACCTCAATGAGAGTGACATACATCAATATGGAACACGTGGACTTGGGATGACGATGAAACTGTGGGTTTATCCTAGGACTTCCCGCTGGTGTGGTCCTGACCTGGGCATTAGATGCCTGTAGGGTTGTTTGACACCAGTGTCCATGGGAAGGCGCCTGTCCGTGGGCACGCCATGCCAATCCCCCAGGTCAGTGGTGCATACTTCTTTTTGCAGGAACCCAAAGTACAAGGATCTGTTTGCAGTGGGACATGGTTCTTGTAAGTGACCTAGCTATTTATTCTCTTCCCCCCCACCATTCAACCAAGCAAGCATGTGGTGCAAAATTCTTTGCCAGTTATGAAAAGTAAAATGATGATTAGGACAGAGTTGGTTCCTTCAGGAGATTTAGAATCTAAGACAGACAAACATACCAGCAGTTCCTCCCAGATGAGGGAACAGATAAAGCTGAATATGTCAAGCTGAGTCTTGGAACTAAAGGAAAAGGAGGAGATCACTTCTAACAAAGGAGCCAGAATATGCAAAATTGGGAGGCATGAGAGATATGGCAGGAAGGGGAGATGTTGAGGAGGGTGGTAGGGTCATTTGCAAAGGTTTTGGGGTGGATTTTGTTTGGCGGTTTTTTGCATGTGGTTTTGTTTTTATTTTAAGCTAACAGCTTTTGTTTGCTTGGGTCCCCAATCAACACTCTTGGCACCAGCAGCCAGGAAATTAAAAGACTAATTGTGATGGGAAAGTCTGCTGATAGAGACCTCTTGAAAGCACTGAAGAGCAACGATGTCAGTCAGGAGACTAAGATGCGCCTGATATAGGCTATCATCTTTGCAATCAATTGCTATGATTCAGAGAGCTGGACAATGAGTAGGGATGATAGAAGGAGAATTGATGCCTTTGAGCTGTGGTATTGGAGAAGATTATTGAATATACCATGAATGGCTAAGAGAACGAACAGATTCATCCTGGAGAGGGTTAAACCAGGCTGCTCCTTGGAGGCAAAGATTCTGAAGCGTTTGTCTAACATACTTTGGACATGTTGCAAGGGGGGACCGGTCCTTGGAGAGGGATGTCATGCTTGGGAGGTTGGAGGAACAGCGCAGGAGAGGAAGACTGTCTATGAGATGGGTTGATTCAGTGACTGGGATAATGTGGGTAGGAGTGTCAGAGACAGTAAGATTGGCACAGGATAGAGCAGGATTTAGGGTGGTTGCAGGAAACTCAATGGCATATAACAACAAAAACCACCACAAACATCTTTTTAAAATGACAGGTTAACAGCCCATACCACTGTGGAGACTGGGGTGAAACTGTGGCTGTGGCACTTCTGCCTTGCTTTTCTTCCTCTTTCCAGGAGTATACGTAGTAACCGTGGAGTCTGGCTTCTCACTATGCCTCAGCCTTCTGGCCTCAGTTTTCCTAGAAGCTGACCCGTGGGTGAGGGCCCGTAAGCTCCTGCCTTCCCCTGAGCCTTGCTCGGTCAGGAGGTGAGGCCATCCATCAGTGACATATTGCTGTAGGCTTCTTCATGGTGGCACCCTTTGCAAGGTTTTTTTAAAGCCTTCTCTTAGGGACCATGGATACTGACTGACGGAAGGTATCCGGGAAGGCAGTGGTATGACCAGTGCAGAGAGTGAGTGCAGGGCAGGAGGAGAGAAGACTAGTTAGGAGACTAGTGCAGACTTTCCAAAAAGATGGCACGCTTGAGCCTCAACAGTGGAGTGAGGATGAGGAAGAGGGAGCTCTGGTGGCCTAATAGTAAGAAGCTGCACTGCAATCCCAAAGGCATGAGGTTCAAAACCACCAGCTGCTCTGTGGGAGAAGGATGGGCAATCTCCTCCTGTGTGATTTATCACCTCTGAAAACCCTCTCCTTTGAATTAGTTGCTTGGAGGGTAAGTTCTAACTCGATGGTACACAACAAGAGTAGACCAGGAAGCTCTGGTGGCTTGTTGTTGATGTATACCATCGAGTTGAACCGTCCCATGCTGACCCTCCAGCGGGTTTTCAGAGGCAGTTAATTGCATGGGGGGGGGGGGCTTGCCCATCCTCCCGCAGGGCAGCTGGTTGATTCAAATCACATGCCTTTAGGATTGCAGCACAGCTTCTTGTCATTATGCCACCAGAGCTTCCTTTCTGGTGGCTTACTAATAAGGAATTGTACTGCTATCACAAAGGTACATAGTTCAAACATACCAGCTGCTCCACGGGAGAATTGATGGGCAGTCTCCTCCTGTGCGATTAATTGCCTCTGAAAACCCACTGGAGGGTCAGCTATGGGTTGGTTCTGGCTCAGTGGTACACAACAACAGTACACCGCAACAGACCTGAGGAGGGATTGGGATAGGAGGGCAAGGAAGGGTAGAGATGCAGACTCACCTCCCTGTCTCATCATCAAGTCTGCCTTCTCAGCTGGAACCCCTGGGGCAGGCAAGGAATGCTTGATGTCTATCATTTGACCCCTAGGCCCTGGGGACCACCATTGCCCATGGTGTGTTCCTACCCCTCCTTGTTGCCACCCCTCCCAGAGAAGCAGCACTATAATAACTGGATCTAGTCATTTCCTTTCCTTTCATGTTCCTCAGGCTCAGCTGAAGCCCCTACCTCTCTGCTGGTTTGGCTGTTCTCCCTTCCTAACGGGAGAGGGCCCCACACTTCATGTCAGCTGCGGCTTTCCAATGTTAGCGGCTTGTTTTCTGGCTAGGAGGACCTGCATCTGTGAACAGAAAACCCTTTCCATTCTCTGAGTTGATGCTGGCTGGCAGGCAGACAAGCTCCTGGTCTCTGCCCCTCAGACTGCCTGTCCGCCCATTCTTTGACCAGGGTGGGGGGGATGGAGGCGGGAGGAGGAGGATTTGGTGTTTGTCATTCTTCTCAGGGAGGAGGCCTTGGAGCTGCTCCCAGTCTCGTTGTCTGGGCTGCCTTTGAGGATGCCCTAAATGCTTGCTTTGTGTCCCCTCTCCTGAGGGTGGGCTGCTGCCAAGTAGGAAGCACCCTCCCCCTCTGGCAGGGAACTAGCACATCCCTCCCCCTTTGCTGTAGCTACTAGGGCTGGAACTGGGCCTGGGGGGGGGGGCAGGCCCTTGGGGGAGTGTATGTAGACCCCCTGTGAAGCCACTCTCAGCTCAGGCTCTCTGCCTGAGGGGGTAGGGTTGCCAGTAGGTCAGGGGAGAAAGTGCTTCAGCTCCAGCTTCCACCCAGGGCCAGCAGGGGGACCAGGGTCATGTGGAGGATGATACTTTCTCTAGCTAGGAGCAGTGGAGAAGAGTAGACCGCCCAGGGACAGATGACCTGTCAAGCCTAGCAGCCTCATTGGGGCAGGTCCTTGCCCAGGACAGGTCTCTCTGTCATTTGTTCATCCTTTTGTCCATATTTCCATGCCTGGGTGGTGCCTCAGCTGCATATCTTTCATCTGGAGAATCGCTTCTCAGAGGTTCAGCCTGGGGCCAGAAACCTCTCTAAACCTTGTTTCCAGGTTGCTGGCATGGAGAACACCTGCCAGGCCTCCATCTCAGGACTATGATGAGGCCTACTAAAGGGAAAAGTCATAAAAGTTGTCTGTGGGCTGTGAAAACCAGCCCCACCCAGAGGACAATCATTGCTGATTGGTTTGTTGTTAGTTCCTCCAGCTTTCCTCCAGTGTCACCCCAACCCCCACAGGGGACATGAGCAGAGAAGGGAACAGAGAGGAATCAGACGAGGTCCTCATACTCTCTTTGAGAGCAGCAATGAGGGTGGTATCTGTAGTTACTGTTACTAGCTTGGAGTTATTGACCAGCTGTCAGATGGGCCATCTATTCTCCAGAGCCTCGCATATCTTAGCACACCCAGGGGGCCTTGAGCAAAGGCAAGGTGAGCTGGTACTCAAGGCCCTTGCATGCACTCCTGTGGTCACTTCCGGAAGTCCCATGTCCTTGAGTGCCTTGCTGCCTAGGTGCTTTATGGAAGAAAGAATAAAGCTGAGGTAGAAGGAGAGAGCCTGGATCCCGAGTGGGGTGGAGTGGAGTGAGGGACAGCTGGCCTCACCAAGTTGCTCTTTGAAGGTACCTAGAGACTAACCTCCGATAATTAGATTTGGTCTTATGAGAAAGACACCGGAATAAGAATTAGGGTTTGTTGTTGAGCTTGACCCTAATGAGTGCAGCACAGACTTGGTAAACTTCCTTTTACCTGGAATTTCCAGACATGTGTGCCATGACCCAGACAAACAAAACTTTGGCAGGGATAGATATTGACTATAAGACATTAATTTCCTATTTTGGGAACAGGGCAAGTTGACTGAGGTCAAGGCAGGAGCAAGCACAGGGAGAAAAGGGAATTAAGGTGATAGCACAGAGCATTCCCACCTGCCTCCCCTCGCTGGACGCAGGGTGCCAGGTGGTGGGGAAATAAGGCTGCTTAGAGAGCAGAGACTCAGATACCTCGTAGAGCCAGGCAACCAGTAGAAGGGAGAAAGAAGCTATCAGCAGGTGAAGGCAGATGGAGAAACTTTGGAGGGCAGAGGAAGCTGGTCCAATAAGAAACGGCTCATGGGGCAGGGCAGGGAGTTGGAACTGCTGGGATGCAATTATGTCAGCCAGCTGTGTTGAAGGGGTCCTTTACAGCCCATTAACCAGTTCATAACAGGGAAATGGAGGCTCTTTGTAGCCTATCAAGCAGGAATAGTGGAACAGTCATACTCTGTATGACACAAGGGCCAGGGCAGGTAGCTTCCTGGTGGGCCAATCTTGGAAGAACGGAAGAGCCAGCTGTTCCTTAGCCCAACCTCCCTCCAAGGGCAGCACCTTCAAAAAGCGCCAAAGTCAGGCCCTGAGTCCCAACACTAAACCCACTCCCACTGTGTCCCACCACATCCTGGCCTTCTCCCTGAGCCTGTCCAGGCCAGAGATACAGCGGTAGGGATTTAAATCTTCCCTGATCATTTATTTGTCAGCTTCACTAATTAAACAGTGTTAATTTCATTTACTGAAAATGGAAATTCATCCACCTCATTTCTCTCTGTTCATCCTCCACACACAAAATCCATCACTCCTCGGCTGCAGGCTGCGTAAAATTTACAGGACTAATTATGTTGTCAGGTCTCTTTGTAAATACAGTCCATAAAGGCCACTGTGCCTGCCGGGTTGTAGTGCAAGGGCATTCCCGTTGTTAGTTTAATTACTGGTTAGTTATTTAGGTTCTCAAATGTTTGCCTCATTTTCCCTAAATCAAATTAAATGTCCTGCTTGATGTATTCTGTCTCTAAGGCCTTGCTCTTACTTCCCACACTGTTTAAATATGACTTCTAATAGAATGAAAGTGCTTTGGAACAGTTTAGCTTCCTGGGAGGCTGATTCTGAAGCTGATGCCCTTCCTTGGGGTAGCTCTGAGCTAGTGGCTTCACTTTGGGGGCTGTGAAAATCCATTTGTGCCCTTGAAGTCTAAGATGACAGAGCTGAGGTATGGGGATCTGAAGGAGGTTCAACAGAAGAGCTGAAGGTCATTGAATCCATCCTCCTAATTTCTAGAGAAGGAGTGCTGGTGTCCTCTCCCGTAGGGAGTTGTGCTTTTAGCCCTAGGGCTGCCCCTCTGTGGTTGTTGGGATCCACCAGCATCTCTGTGTGGGGTAGGGGGTCGAGGGAAGATGGGCAGTCTCCTCCCATGCAATTTACAACCTCCAGAAACCCTGGAGGATAAGCAATCAGCTGATTCCACCTCAGTGATAATGATGAGTTTTAGGGTTTTTCCATTTCTAGAGATACTGTTTTCAGACTGTCTCAGAAAAAAAAAGTGTCTTCTGTGGGGCTTCTCCCTCTTTCTCAAAGTAGAGCTTAGGCCAACCTTTCCTAAATGTCTACTCTATTTGCTTCCATAGTTGCTTAACACAACACAAATTTATTTTTATAATTCTGGAGATTAGAAATCCAAAATGAGTTCCACTGAGCTAAAATCAAGGGATTTAGAAGGGTTGTGTTCCTTCCCAAGGCCTTAGGGGAAAATCTGTTTCCATATCTTTTCAAGCTTCTAGAGGACCCCCGAGGTCTATGGATTTTGGCCCCTTTCCAGCCAGCAGTCATATCATTCTGATCTCTGTTTCTGTCATTGTAGCCCCTTCTACAACTCTCTTTCCTTCCTCTTCCCCTTAAAAGGACCACTGTGATTGGATTGGACCCACACAGATAATCCAGGATCATCTCACATCTAAAGGTCTTTAACGTAATCATATCTGCAGAGTATCGTTTGCCAGACTTTAGCTTGATACTTTCTGCCTGTCTTACTCTCCCTGAAACTTAAGCAAAACCCCCAAGTTCTCCCAACAGCCAGAACTCTCCAGACTGCTAAAGCTATTTACCTTCAGGCCTGGAGTGGGGTTGCTGGGTATGAAGTCCCCTCTTAGTGATGATAGTTCAAGACACCAGTCTGTATCCTCCTTGAGACTCTAGTGGAAGAAGCTGGGCTCAGTCAATGCTTTGGGTTTGTAGGATGAAGCCACTCCTCTCAGCTGCTCCTCTTCCCTGAGACTATGGATTTCTGAGAGCTACTGAATCAAGTTCTACCAGGAATATCCTTGAAGAATAAAGGTGGGAGAGGTCTTAGAGATTAATGCCTAGCAGGTCAGGGTTAGAAGGAGGCGGCCCTATCATCAGAAAAAGCCAGCCTGCCAGGCTGTATCTACGCCATCCTTTGCTGACATCTGAGACCTACTAGCTGTCATCTGTGATAATGAGATGTGGGACACTCACCGGAGAGAGAGCTCCATGGTCTGGAAGGCCTCTTGAAGGAGTGGGTCCTCCAGGGCTAGTAGACTGTCATTAGGCAGGATGTGGGAGGGGAATATATTGTAGCTTAAGGAAACAGTGTGGGCACAAGTACAGGGAGGCAGAGGAACGAAAATCAGGCTAGTAGATTGGATATGTTGGGCCTAGTAGCAGCTGAGCTCCTGCCAAGACTTCTCCCTCCAGGGACCAGCCCAGTCACTTACTCTCTTAAGGGACAGGCTGAAAAATATGACAGAGAACAATAAAGTGAAATGAGTTCAGTAGGGGATGCCTCCTTGTCTGTCCTGTCCATGGGCTCTACACCCTAGCTCTGGCCACTCTGTCAGATAGTGAAGCTTCCAGCAGTAGAGGAGACAGGCTTTGAGACAAGAGGTTCAAGAGAACTTTTGTCTTGGCCAAAAAGCATCTGTAACATAGGGCTGTCAAGATGAGGATGCTTCTAAAAGCTTCCACCTCTCCAGTTCTTCTGAACATGGGTAATGGCTGGGGTTACAGGGTAGTGACAGAGAGGTAGACTTGAGGGCTGCAGCTGTGTTCTGTTCAGTGACTGATGGGACCAAACGTGTAGAGAATGCAAGAAAGCGAGAGTGGCTCCCTTGATGTGGGGCAGGACAGAGAGGAAGACCTCTGCTGAATGGCCCATTGTTGATACCTAAGCTGTGTCCAGCTCAGAAGGACACCACAGTGGATCTGTGGAAGCCTGGCCAACTGGCCTCGAACTTCTGCCTACAGCTAAGTTTCAGTCTACAAGGAGGGCTAGCACTGGAGGTTATAGAATAATGCCCACAGATGGTTCGTTTCTCTGCCTCTCATTGCTGAGTTTCTGAGGCTGTAAATTGCATCTCTCTACCGAGGAGCTTCTGCTGAATTCAAACACTCTTTGGGTTTGCAGTTCCCTGTGGAATTGCTACCAGAGCTTCCTCAGGTTGGTTTAGGGTTCATCATAAAGCCCCAAACCAAACATAATGCCACTGAGTCAATTTCAACTCATGGCGACCCTCCATCAGGTTTCCAAGGCTGGTAGGAAGAGACTGCCCATCTTTCTCGCTCAGAACAATTGGTGGAGTTGATTCCTTGTGTTAATAAGCCAACATGTTACGCACTACACCACCAGAGCACCTTAGGAACTCACTACAGACAATTTAATTTCAGTCCAAGTTCAGCCTCATCCTTGGCTGTATGTGTATAGGATGGTCTGGGGGAGCAGAGGGCATATGGGAATTATCTAGGCATCTACAGAATATCACAGCCTGGACAGGATTGGGCATCTGAGCTTCCTCTAATGGTCCTGCCCCATCCCAAGCCCACTCTACATATACACTCTACCATAGCAGATCGTTGAATCTGCACTCAGCTTTCTTATACCTCAGGGAGATAGGAGAACAAGTATCCTCCCCAGATAAGCCTGGTCACCTTTACTGATTGTTGTATTTGCCTATGGACCCTGAGAAGAGGTAGGCCATGTTTTCTGAATCTGCTTCTCAAACAAGAAAACTGAAGGCCAGAGGAAAATCTCAAGCTCTCTGACAGAGACAGAGCAGAGCAGAACCTCATCCATCTGGTGGGAAGAGTAAGGGGCTTCCCCAAAAGGGCAGTGTGTTCTGTAACCAAAGCAGCCCCTCTCCCCTGTGGGCAGATGACTTCATGAAGCAGAGCCGGGGCATGCTGCTGCTCTACAGCTTGAAGAATCCAAGCTTCCCTGAATACATCTTCAGCAGTGACAGTGGCATCATGTGTCTCGACATACACGTGGACCACCCCTACCTGGTGGTGGTGGGCCACTATGATGGCAACGTGGCCATTTATAACCTCAAGAAGCCCCAATCCCAGCCTTCCTTCCGCAGCTCCACCAAGTCCGGCAAGCACACGGACCCTGTGTGGCAGGTCAGCCTTGAACCAGGATGGAGAAGCAGGGATGGGAATAGTGTGTGCATCTAGGAGCCTTGGATATGCGATTTAAGGGAGGCAAAGGAAACATGCAAGGGTATGGAGATCCCAGGTACCAGTTTAGACTTTGAGGAGCTGAGAGTTAAAAGGAGTAGCAAAGGTAGAATGGAAGAGTCAGAAGGTTAGAGGGTCTCCAGTGAGAGTTAGGATATGCAGCCCAAGAGTTCCTATCAAGAGGGCCCCATCTGTCTGCTAAGAATCTTTCAGGCATGGGGATAGTAACTAAAAAGGCAATGACTGGACCTGACAGGCCCCAGTTGGATATGTCACAGGCACCAGATCCTCAACTCCCCAAAAGGGAGTCTGCTCAACCCTCTGGTCAGCCCAAGCTCAATTTAGAGGCTTCCTAGACAGGGGTGGCTACTGCTGGCCATCTACTCTTATGGTGTAGGTGGAAGGCCTGGTTCTTTTCCGCAGGCAGCGAGGTATATGAGTCTGGAGCTGAAAGGTGAGCCAAGTCAGTGAATGAGATGTCAGAGACATTTGTGGGAGCCCAAAAAGGTTGTTTCAGACATCACATGCCAGGCTGGGGCAAAAGGACTTGATTCTGTTGGCAACAGGGAGCTCTATAAGGTTTTGGAGACTTGGGCTCCTGTCTTGGGGCCTAAGTACTGTTTTCCCAAGGAATCCACCAGTATAGGCTCCACTATAACACTTCAGCACTTTAGTTAGCAACACTGAGTGTGTGTGTGTGTGTGTGTGTGTGTGTGTGTGTGTGTGTGTGTGTGAGAGTGTGTGAGAGAGAGAGAGAGAGAGAGAGATGTGTGATTCCACAGAAGGAAGCAGAAAGAATGTGTGAGCAGAAATGGGGGTGGGGTACTGTCAAGCAGGCCTTACTCTAATCAAATAAAACAGAAAGAAGGAATCCATTAGGCAGACTCCATTCTTTCCCTGACTACCTGATCCTGGGCATGAATTGATTCCCCCAACCCCTCTTACTGTCCCCCTTGCCCCTTACCCCCAGAGCACATGTGTAACTCATACACACATACACATTTGCTTGGAATATACCTCCCTCCGCCTCCTGAGCATCAGGCAGCGAAATGGGCTTTCCCATGCATGCTGGCTCATTAGCACTTCCCTTTGCAGCTCCCACGACCCTCTTATGGCCTGGCCTTTGACAGTCTTTGTCTTCAGAGGTGTATCTGGGTGTGGCTGGTATGGCACATGCCCTGGGCACCACCAAGGGAGATGCCAATAAGTAGTGTCTGTTCACCACCACGGTTTCCATTGAGAACTTTAAAAAGATCATTCGACAATTTAAAATGAACTGCTGTGGGCACTATTTTCTGTAGATGAACTACTGCCTAGCCCCTCCCTACCCCCTTAAAAAGGACCACTTTTACACAGAGGAGAAATGGTGTTAGCCTCAGCACTGGTTCTGACTTGTGGCTCTGTGGGATCCTAGGCCCCCTCATGAAAACACAGAAAAGCCACTGCCCAGACAGGCCCAGGCAAGACTCAGAGGCCCTCCTGCAGCTCAGAACAGCCAGCCCTGGGGGTGGCTGGGGAGGGGTAGCCCCTTCCTCCCCAAGACAGCCATGGTGACAGCTGCGGTTACAGGCAGCAGTGCTGGGCTCCTGGCCTCCCTCACTAGGCCTCTGCTTTTGACAGGGGGAGGGGAAGGTGGTCCCAGCATGGGAGGTCTGGAGGGAGCTGGAGGACAGAAAGCTCTGGGCACCCAGCCCCACCCGGCTCTCCAGGACACGGCTTGGCCAGGCCTCCACATCTGGCAACAGAAACTTGAGCCTCAAGCGTGTCATCTTCATAAGACAACAGCTCTGTCTCCAAAACACTTTCCCATATGTTCTCTTCCAGCCCTGAAAAGAGGGGTGGGGCTGGATTACTAACCCTGATTTGCAGATGGAGAAATGCAGCTCAAACCTGAGATCTGGGAGCAGGAGAAAGTGGCAAAGTAAAGGTGGGAACAGAGAGGAAAGAACTGCTAGAGAAATACCAAGCTTAGAGAAGGGAGGTGGGTAGGGTCTGTCTCTCCCCACCAAGCAAGCAGGGAGAAGGTCCCTGTGAGAACGCAGCCTTAGCACCCAGAATCCTGGGATGCTGAGAATCACGTGAATATTACCAGATGCCAGAGTCAGTCCTGATTCATGGTGACCCACGTGTGCTCTGTTAAGTTTTTAATGGCTGGATTTTCAGCATTGGACCATCAAGGCTTTCCTCCAAGGTGCCTCTGGTGAGAGCCAGTCTTTAGTTAGCAACCACTAAGAGACTAATGAGACTAGAAGTCCATGCTCATTGAATTCCTAATAAGTACAAGGTCCTGATCGAGGACTTCACATATCTCATTTACTCTACACAGCGACTCTAATTTATTATGATTCTTGTCATAAATAGGGAAACTGGTTTGATGGCTTTGTCCTTTCCAGGTCATGTCTGTTTGAGGTGACTAACCTAGAATTATATTTTCTCTCCACAACTGGGCTCCTTGAACCCAACCCATGGAGTAATTGGGCACCACCATTGCCAAGCCAGTCAGTGAGGTAGGGCAGAGCCCTGAGGGCATTATTGCCCAGGATGGTCAGGGAGAGAGGACTGCAGAAGACAGATGGACAGAAAGAGGGAGAGGGGACTCATCTTAGGATGGGTTTACAGATCTTACGGGTTTACAGAATTTGCTTTTGAGCCTTTCGTTGGTTCTTAGAGGATTTAGAAACTCAAGAAATCAATTCACAGACCCCAACTCAGTGCCCTAGCAGGGTCCCAGAACTCACGGTTTGTGATGTTTCAGGTCAGGTGGCAGAAAGATGACATGGACCACAATCTTAACTTCTTTTCTGTGTCGTCTGATGGAAGGATTGTGTCATGGACACTCGTGAAGGTGCCTGGTTCCCAGGGAGGGTCATGCAAGGGTGGACAGGTGGATGGGCAGTGAATGGCAAAGGATACCCTCCAGTCTTGCTGATCCAGTCCAATCCATTGCTCCACACACACCTCATCTGTCACTGCAGAGCGAGCTGGTTCACACAGAGGTCATCAAGCTGAAGGTGGAAGGCAGCACCACAGATGGTCTCGATTGGTTGCAACTACACACAGTAGGTAGGAACCCCAACCTGGCCAAGTCATTCAGTCACCAGGAGAGGCAGTGACCGACAGCTGCCCACCTCCCAGTCTCAGATTACCCAGAAAGGAAGGTCAGCACAGGCTTACTTTGCTGCTTACTAATGTGTGGTGAACACTTAAAATATTTTCACATCAGAGATTTTGCTTCTAGGCATGGCTGGCATCTGTCTCTCAACCCCACGGTGCCTTCCTACAGAGTCAAAACACCTTTCCAAAATTGCAGTTCTTTATAGGGAAGGAGTGCTCAGTATGGAAGGTAGGCATAGGTTAACATAGGTTAACATATGTTTACTTACTAACCAGTGGGGAAACTGATGGGAAAGTGTCCACTATGTGATAAGCCATGGGGAACTGTTCACTAAAGATTAGTAAGTCAGCACAAGTAAGCCCATGCTTACATTCCTTACAGGGCACTATGCCTCTCCTCCCCTTGACGGAGCATTCCCACCCTAGCTTATGCCAGGGTCCAGCAGAAGGGCAGGAGATAGGAACAGCCCCTGGCTGTTTGCAGAGCCTCCCTGCAGCCCTGTTTAGGCAGGTCCTAGCCCTACGTGCAGACCCTGTTCCTGTTTATGCAGATCAGGTGCTGTGATGCAGATCCAGCCGTTTATGCAGATCAGGCCCTGTTTACCCAGATCCCATCCCTGTTTACTCAATTCCTACCCTGTTTATGCAGACTATATCCCTGTTTGCATAGACCGTATCCCTGTTTGCAGACCCTGTCCCTGTTTACCCTGACCCTGACCCTGTTTTAACTCACTCCTTGCCTTGTTTACCCAGACTTCCTAGTTCCTCTTCAGAACCCCTGGCTATTTGTGGAGTCCTAACTGCCTGGGTTGCAAGCTACTCAATGGCACATAACAACAACTGCCTGGGACAGGCAGGGTACGGGCCTGTTGCTGTTTGTCTGGCCTGGGCCCAGGCTCACTCTGGCTCCACAGCCTGAAGAGTCCCTTCTCTGGGGAGGGGAGGTGTAGGGAGCCCCCGCTTAGAGCTGAGCTAAGGACTGCTTCCTCTTCTCCCGAGGCTGTGGCACTGCCTTTGACTTCCACAAAGAGATCGACTACTTGTTCCTAGTGGGCACAGAGGAGGGGAAAATCTACAAGGTGAGGCAATACTGTGACTGTGTCAGCTCCTACAGGGCCACCAGGACCTGACCACTCTTTTGCTGGCCTCCAGAGGGTGGGAATGGGGCTTTCTCTCCCCTCTGCAGAACCTACTGGGATAGACCTTAGTACTTTTCAATTCTGGGAGGTTTCCTGGGGGAGGAGGACAGAGTTCATGACCTGACCTGATCTGAATCAAGAAGGGAGATGTGGGAAAGGGGATGGAAAACCTAGAGAGTGACTTTGATCCACCCATCATTTTTCCCACTGGGATCTCCCTTCCCTCCAGGGATTAAGGAGAAAGAGGTGAAAGTAGGGGAGGGATGGGGCTGCAACATTCTGGGAAGACTTCTAGAGATTTGAGCTGAGCTTTGAAGGCCAGGTAAGGAGCAGATTTCTTTAAGATAAGGAGCCTCCAGCCAGCTGGATGGAACCTCATGGCTGTCCTCAAGATCTCAGTGTTAGTAGGTGAACATCCTCTGAAGTGCTGTCCATCCAGAAATAGCTCTGTTGCCAGCTTTTCTTGGGCTTGGAGACTCAGAATGTTAATTACAGGCAAGCTCCCCGGAGCCCCTGAGGCCCAGACAGAGCCGATCTGAATGTAAAAGAGGTCCTCATCCCCTCCTTCCCCTCCCAACAGCAGCCCCTGGGAGGTGGGAGGGAAGGACAGACTGGCTGTACAGTCTTCTGGAGGAAAGGAGTGAGGGCCATGCTGATCTGGGCAAATACCTGACTGTGGAAACGTGGAGATCCTGAGTCTGCTCAACTCAGCACCTGCTCATACCCAGGCAAAGTGGCATATTTATCATTGTTGCAAGGTTTCTGTGAGCCACAAATATATCTACAATGTACAATTTGAGACACCTAGGCCATGCGTAACTCAGGGTCCTCAGACCTGCTTGGCCCTGACTCAGAGAGAAGGCCTTTAGGCCTTTTCTGCCTGTCTTGGCATCCTCTGGGGTTCAGGCCCTCACCCTCCAAGAATGTTCTTCTGCCTACCTGAGGCCCGAGCCCCACAAGCTTCTTCTTTCTCTCTGAGCATGTTAGGGGAGGGAAAACAAAGCCAATGGCTCCAGCCTAGCTTGTGACAGTGATGTGGGGTAAGGGCAGGAAAGGAGTCTTATGTTCTGGTCATCCAGGGACCAGGGAGGTGCTAGTACTATTGACTTCTCCTTCTGAACCCTGACCACCTGTTCTTGCCCGCAGTGCTCTAAATCCTACTCCAGCCAATTCCTCGATACCTATGATGCCCACAACATGGCAGTAGACACTGTGTCCTGGAACCCATACCATACCAAAGTCTTCATGTCCTGCAGCTCTGACTGGACAGTGAAGATCTGGGATCACACCATCAAGTGAGGGGCCGGCCTCTGCCCCAGTCTTGTCCTTTTCCCCACCCTAGGCTGGGACCTATTGGGCTCTAACTCTTGGCTGTCTTATATCATAATCTTTTCCCCTTCTCCATCACCACTGCAGGACCCCGATGTTCATCTATGACCTGAACTCAGCTGTGGGAGATGTGGCCTGGGCACCTTACTCTTCTACTGTGTTTGCAGCAGTCACCACTGATGGGAAGGTGAATGTCTCTTGCTGGCGGGCTGGGCCCTCCTTACTGGAGATAAAGCCAAACCAAAGTCATTGTCATCAAGTCAGTTCCAACTAGGCAACCCTGTAGGGCAGAGTGGAACTGCCTGTAGGATTCCCAAGGCTGGAAAGCTTCACGGAAGTAAAGTGCCTTCTGGTGGGTTGGAACTGCTAGCGATTTGGTGAGTAGCCGAATTCTTTTGCAACTGTGCTGTCAAATCTCTGGAAATGAAAAATCTCAGACTTATCGCTATTCAGTAGGAACTGACCATAGCTGACCCTCCAGCAAGTTTTCAGAGGCTGTACATCACACAAGAAGAGACTACCCATCCTCCCACAGAGCAGCTGGTGGAGTCAAACCACCTCCCTTTGGTTGGTGGTACAACTTCCTGCCACTTGGCTACCAGAGCTCCTTTTACGAGAGATAGGATGTAGTATCTCAGGATCTCTCTGCTGCGGAGCCCACCGAAACCCTAGGTCTGATAAGGAAGGTGGGATGTAAGAACTGTTTCTTAGTGGTCAGTTTATTCAGGGACCATGAGGACTCAAAAAGGGAGTGGCCACTGTCCATCCTGGGAGATGAGATCCCATGAGGAGCAGTTACCTTTTCTGAGACTCCTGGGCAAAGGAACTCCTGGGTGGCAGTAGTCAGCTCACTCTATGAAAAACATGTAAGTAAGAGCTAGCCAGTGACTGAAATGTTGTCTCTAAGGTAGTAAGCTCTTCTGGGAAACCACAGCTGAGACTGGGAAAGGATTTTTGTTGAATTTGTGGAAATTTTATGAAATCCCAGAAACAAGTATTTTATAACAGATTGACAGTATGTTCTCCTTATGGACTTAGATATAAACTGAGAACCACCTGCTGCCCCAAGGCAAGAATCTAGTGGCTAAGGCATCACCCTAAAGCCAGAGAAATATCTTCAAAGGTCCATCTGTGGTACCTAGCTTCAGGCTAGGCCTTGGTGATTCAGGTCTCAAGGAAAAGACAAAATACAGTGAAAACAAAATTCATACAGTACTAAATGCTAGCCAGAGAATTAAAAGAGGATATGTACACAAATCTTCACAGCAGCATTATTTACAATGGCCAAAAAGTAAAAACAAAATTATCATTAATGGATAAATGAATAGATTAAGTGTATTATATCTGTATAATGAGCTTTTTTTTTCAATAATAACAAGTACTACTAACTGCTACTACAACATGGATGAGCCTTGAAAACATTATGCCTAGTGAAAAAAAAACAAAAACAGTCATAAAGGATCATATAAAATTCCACTCAGATATAAAATACTCAGAATAGGCAAATTTACTGAGACAGTAGATTTGTGGTTGTCTCAGGCATGAGGGTGGGTAGGTGGAAATGGAAAGTAACTCCTAAGGTAGGTACAAGTTTTCTTTTTGGGGAGATGAAAATGTTCTGAAATTTGGTTGTGGTATGGCTACATAACTCTGTGAATATACTAAAAATTATTGAATTGTATACGTTCAATGAATTTATTACATCTCAATAATGTTTTTATATTTAAAAAAAAAATGAAGATTGATTAAAACAAGCTTGGAAGCAGGAGTGGCATCCACTTCCGAAATGGCTTGCTTCTGGAAACTCTATGATCAGTGCTCAGGCCTTTTGTTCATAGGGTCGCTCTAAGTCTTCTATGACTCGACAGCACCTAACAACAATAACAGCTACAACATAGAGAGAGCTACTTTGGCCTAGTGGACAGAAAGTTATGCTACCAAGCCCAAGGTGGCTGATTTTAATCTGTGGCCTTTAGGCCTGGTTTAAATGCTTTTTGTCAAACATTCTTCTAAGTGGTATAGCACTGGTTTGTCCATTTGCTGTACAGAGGTAACTCATGGTTGCTGTGATGATAAACACTGTGACACTGATGTGCCAAATGTGACAATGGTCACCCATGGTGGACAGTGTTTGGTAGAGCTTCTCGATTAAAACAAGCTTAGAAGCAGGAGTGGCATCCACTTCCAAAATGGCTTGCTTCCAGAAACTATGAACAGTGCTCAGCTCTTTTGTTCATAGGATCGCTATGAGTCGTCTATGACTCACCAGCACCTAACAACAACAACTAGATGATGTAAAGAAAGACTGAGTGGATCATTAGATATAGTGGTCAGGGAATGCTTCTCTGAGGAGGTGATAGTCAAGCTGAGACCTGAATGACAAAAAGAACTTTCTGTCAGCCACATAAAGTTAGGACATGGGTGTAGGAGTGGGCTCGGGGAGGGGGATTGATTCCGGATAGAGGAATAATTCACCAGAACCAAGCTAAACCCAACCCACTGCCTTTGAGTCAATTCCTACTCCAGTTGACCCTGAAGAACAGAACTGCCTGAGGTTTTCGAAGGCTGTGTAAATCTTTACAGAAGCAAACTGACTCATCTTTCTCTCACAGTGGTTAGCGAGTTCAAACTAAGAACCTTTTGGTTAGCAGTGGGATACATTAACTACTACATCACCAGGGCTAAGTGCAAATGCCCAAGGCGAGAATGCACTGGAAGGCACGACGGATGTGTCCAGGGTGTAGGGAGCATGAGAGGCAGAGGAAAGCATGAGGTGAGAGTGGAAAGGTGGGCCAACGTAAGAAGTCTGGATTTTATTGATAGCACTCAGAGAGTATTGGCGGATTGAAAATGTTTAGGGGTGGTCTGGACAGTACATGGAAAGTGGGTTGCATGAAGACAGACTGGAAGCAGGGACAGCTTAGGAAGCTACCACAGTTGTTCACTTAAGAACTGGTCGTGGTTTGGACTAAGATCAAGCATTTATTGAGCACTTATATGTCAAGCACTCTCTGAGCACTTTACATATATTAGATGGTGTAAATCCTAGCCCTTCTACTTACTAGCAAGTTAGGCTCTAAGAGCCTCTAACTCTTCATTTAGTGGAGCCTACCTTACAGTGGGAATTCCAGAATACTTAATTGTGCTCATATGAATTCCATTTCTAGACCAAAAAGCTGTTGTCTGAATGGAACAGGGGAACTCTGTGTAGTTTAAAATCAGGAAAAGTACACATCAGGGTTGTGTCCTTTCTCCATAACTATTCAAACTGTATGCTAAGCAAATAATTTATGAAGCCAGACTCTATGAAGAGAAATGTGGCATCGGGATCTGAGGAAGACTCATCAACAACCTCAGTTATGCGGTGACATAACCTTACTTGCTGAAAGTCAAGAGGACCTGAAATGCTTACTGCAACTGATCAAAAGACTACAGCCTTCAATATGGGCTACATCTCAGAACATCAAGAAAACAAAGATCCTTACCACTGGGCCAATGGGCAACATCGTGATAGATGGAGAAAAGATTGAAACTGTCAATGATTTTATCGTATTTGGATTATCACCCTTGATACCAGAAGTCAGAGATCAGGAGACGTATTGCTTTTTGGCAAATCTGCTGTCAGGGACCTCCCTAAAATACTGATGAGCTATGATATCAGTTTGAAGACTACAGTGCACACGATGCAGGCCATCCTCATTTTTTATTACTTGCTATGCATCTGAGAACTGGACAGTGAATAAGGATGACAGGAGAATAATTACTGCCTTTGAGCTGTGGTGGTAGAGGAGAGATTGAATATCTCATGGACTGCCAAAAGAATGAACAGGTGTGTCTTGGAAAAGGTGCAGCTGGAGTGCTTCTTGGAGGCAAGGATGGCAAAGCTTCATCTCTCATACTTTGGACGTGTTAGGAGAAGCTATTCATTGGGAAAAAATGTCATTCTTGGAAGGGTGGAGAGTCCATGAAAGAGAGAAAGACGTGCATCGAGATGAATTGACAGTGACTGCAGCAATGGCTCGAGTGTATCAGAGATGGTGAGGAATGCACAGGATAGGACAGGGTTCAGGCCTGTTGTTCATAGGGTCACTGTGAGTCATAGTTGACTCGATGGCACCTGACAGCAACAACAACTTTACAGTATGGTTCCGAGAATAACAATTAGACGATACAATACAAACCTAGAGTACGCTTGCCCAGGTACACCATAAGTGCTCATTAAATGGTAGTTCTGGTGGTGTAGCCTGGAGTGAATCACACTGCTAATCTAAAGGCCACATCTCCAACAATTCAAATCTATCAGTGGCTCTGAGGGTAAGAGATGGTCAGTTTTCTCCAGTTAAAATTTACAGACTGAGAAACCCAGTGGAGGATACCTATGAATCTGAACCTACTCAGCATGAATGAATGAGTGATAATTACTGCTAATTTTGTGTGGTGGTTGTTGTTGTTATGTGCCATTGAGTCACTTGCGACTCATAGCGACCATGTGTACAAGAGCCCTAACCTTTTCTACCCTGTGCCAACCTCACTGTCTCCAACACACCTATTCCCATTACTCTAATCTCTGAATCGATCTATCTCATTGAGGGTCTTCCTCTTCTGCGCCGTCCCTCCACCCTTCCAAACATGATGTCCCTCTCCAAGGACCGGTCCCTCCTTGCAACATGCCCAAAGTTTGTCAGACAAAGCTTCGGAATCCTTGACTCCAAGGAGCAGTCCAGTTTCACCCTCTCCAGGACAAACCTGTTTGTTCTATAAGTCCACAGTATATTCAACACTCTTTTCCAGCACCACAGCTCAAAGGCATCAATTCTCTATCATCCCTAGTCACTGTCCAGCTCTCTGATGCTTAGCACACAAATGCAAAGACTGTGGCCCGGATCAGGCGCACCTTAGTCTCCAGCTTGATGTCGTTACTCTTCAGTACTCTGGAGAGGTCCCTGACAGCTGACGTGCCCAATGCCATGAATCTCTTGATTTTCTGGCTGCTGGTACCAAGAGTGTTGATTAAAAGAAGATGGAAGGAGTATACAGAGTCACTGTACCAGAAGGAATTGGCTGACACAGAAGAATTTCATGAATCAATGTATGAGCCAGAGCCTGTGGTGATAAAGGAGGAAGTTCAAGCTGCTCTGAAAGAACTGGCAAAAAAACAAGGCTCCAGGAGTTGATGGCTATTCTGGGTAGACTTAGATTACCTCCTAAACTTTGTATTTCTTAGTCCCCCAGCCACAGGAAAAATTAAAGCAGAGACACAAAAATTCCTTTCATGCTGCCTTCCAGTTCCAGTATGCTAGCATTTACCCTTCCATGTTGTTTCCCCACAAAGCCCAAGGGCTGGTTCTTTGGCAGTGGAGGACAGGGACTCCATTACTCCTGAGTGTGCTGACACTGACCTCTCCACAGGCCCATGTGTTTGACTTGACCATCAACAAATATGAGGCAATTTGTAGCCAGCCCGTGGTGGCCAAAAAGAAGAACAAGATCACCCACGTGAAGTTCAATCCCATCCATCCCATCATCATTGTGGGTGATGACCAAGGGCACATCACCTGTCTCAAGCTCTCACCTAACTTGCGCAAGATGCCCAAGGTAAAGGTTTGGGGGAAGACAAACAGAATATTGGGGAATGAGAGAGAATGGAGTCTGCTATGGCCCCTACCTTTTTGGCAGTGGAGACCCCAAGTAATGCTGTTGCCTGAATATGGAAAAAGGAGAAGCAAGTTTTGGGGAAATAATGAGATCCAGTTAAACAGGCTGAATCTGAGTTACCTGCACAAGTGGCAGAGTGGGGCAGACAGGTTAAGTCCCATGGGTAGGAACTCACTGGATAGGTCTGAAGTATGGGTGAGCCATGTGGGCATCATTGGATTAGAGCTGGCACAGGAAGCTGTGATGTAGGCCAACTCTACATGCAGGGCCTCTGGGCTATTACTGCTTCGCTGGTTGGGCTTACATGGGGCTGCAGCTCCACTGGTCCCTGAGCAGGGAGCTCTGAGTCCTCACAGGGAAGAAAGAAATGAGCCGTGAGAAGGGTAACTAGGTCAATGGCTATGCAGGCCTCCTTTTGAGCTCTGATTCCTATTTCTGGGGTCTGTTATTATCAAGAGAACCTGCCCAGAGCCCAAGGACCCCAAATCCAGGCCACATATCCAGAGTCATGACCTCAAACTCTAGAACACGGAGTCAAGATTAGAACCCAGGCCTGACAATCTAAAACTCAAGAGCCTGAGTTAAAAACTTAGAATTCAAGAACCCAGGACCTAGCCCTGACTCTTTGGGTTTGAATCCCAATGCAGCTGGGTATAGCCAAGAGAAGAAATGAGATTTGTTTTCTGTCAGGTTCTAGGTCAGGATGGGGACTGGACCAGGGCTAGGCCCACTTGCCCTGACAACTGTACCCCTAGTTACATACAGAGTCCTTTACTGCAGTTTGAGGCTAGGGCAGAGGTCTTTCTTAAGTACTGACATTCTGCCCATGTCCCTTTACCAAGGCCAGGCCACTGCACTATCTCTCTGGTGCTGGCCTGGCTCATTTCCCACCAAGGCCAGGGAGGCAAGGGCTGGGAGTTCGGCCTGTAATTGTAGCCAGCTGGGGGAGGGGGTGGACTTGGCTATAAATACTCAGAAGGCTGCTAAGCGCTGCAGCTGTGGCCCAGAGGCTGTGGTGGGCTCAGGGGGAGGGGGCCGGGCGTGGTCTGAAGCTGCTGAGCCCAGCTAGTTGGCCCCAAGGAGGGGGGAGAAGGAAACCCAATTTGAGCAGATAAAATCTGTTCCTAATTAACTGAGGAGCAATACTCAGACTTAAGCTGGCAGAAACTGGCCCTCTGTGAGGGATGATGGTCACTTGGGGAAAGGGCTTCAGCCATGGCACCATGAGAGGGTGGTGACTGTGGGTGGGATTTTGACCTTCTCCCCTGATCTGGAGAAGGAAGGCTCTCTCAGAGTAAGGTCAGTCCTGGCTGTGAGCTGACTCTGTTTATCTGAGGCCCTATGCCTACAGGCCCAAAGACAGGTAATTCCGGCTTTGAGGAGCTAAACAGGTCAGAAAGCACTGAAGGTTCCTACAAAATTATCATCTAAGCCATATGGTAGCTAAATGATTAATGCAAAAGGAAGTTCTCTAGGCACTCTTACTACATCCCATGGACAGTGAAGAGAACAAACAGATATGCCTTAAAGAGAGTGCAGCCAGAGTACTCTTTGGAGGTAAGAATGATGAGACGTCCCCTCACATACTTTGGACTTGTTGCTAGGAGGGCTGGCTATTCTTTGGAGAAGGACGTGATGCTGGGAAGGGTAGAGGGTCGGCGAAGGAAAAAGACCCTCAACCAGGTGAATTGACGCAGTTACTGCTGCAGTGGGCTCCTGTGTGTCAGGAAGTGTGGGGATGGCACAGGATAAAACAGAGTTCAGATTTTTTGTTCAGAGGGTTGCTATGAGTCATGCTTGACTTGACATCACCTAACAACAACAACTGCGCAGCCCCTGTCCTTGAGAGGGGTTAACCACAAAGATTGGAGCTTCCTGGCCCAGGGACCTTCCTATGATGGGTTTGAGAACCCCAACCTATCAAAGGTTATGTACGGTCTTTCCCTAACTACTGTTGTTGGATGTTGTCATTTCCAACTCATAAATACCCAACTACAGCAGAAGGAAACCCTGCCTGTACCGCCCTCAAAATCTCTGCTGAGCTTAAACTCATCATCGCAGACACTACTGTAAGAGATGGGAAACTAAGGCTAAGAGACTAAGGCTCAGAGAGGCAAAGGATTTGCCCAAAGTCACATAGAGTTAGTGACACAGTTACAACTAAAGGCTGGGTCCTTTAACACAAGGGATAGAGTAAGCCAAGAAGGGAATCTGGGCTTAATTCAAAAAAAGTAAGAAAAGAGACAGAGAAAGGCATCTTTGTCCTTTCTGTACAGCACAGAGATGATCTGAGCAATGGCAAAGGCTCTGGGCTGCAAGTGGCTGGGGAGATAGATTTCATCACAGGTGCAGGGGCCGCTCCAAAAGGAAACGTGAGACCCACACAGTGTCAGCAGCCTAGACAGGGCCAGGAGCAGGGTGCCTACTGGTCCTGCAATCTCCCTTAACCTCACAGCACAAGGCAGCTCCAGGCCAGGTCCTTGGCAGGCAAGGCTGGGGCAGGTGCCAGTGAGCAGTGGGCACAGGTGGCTGGGGGGGGGGGCAGGAGCTGTGGGAAGACAAGAAATGGCAGCTGCCCAGCCTGCTCCAGCATAGTTTACATTCCAGTGCCTGGACACAGGGTAGATGAGACTGATGCTGGCCCACTGAGGAGCTCTTGCGTCTGTTACACAGGATCCAGCTTACCAGCAATAGCATTTAAGTACTCTGTAGGTTGAAATATTGTTGTTTCTTCTTGAAAAAGCAGAATAGAAATGCTTCTTAGGGTTTTCAAGACTGTAACCTTGAAAGCATATCGTTAAGCCTAGCTTGAGGTACCTTTGGAAGGGTTTGAACTACTAACCTTTCAGCTAGTAGTTGAGTGCTTAGCCATACGTACCACCTAGAACACCTATAAAGTGAGGAGAGGGTCATAAATTCAGGAACTACTCTTCTGAGGACAGTTCCAGCCAAGTATATGTGGAGTCACACCAGATGTCCCACCTGTCCTCATGGGTTGGTCTCCTGACACATTCCTGGACCTTGGGTTTGTCTAAGCAGGGCTGTCCTCAAATGGTACTTCACCCCCTACCTAACCTGAAGATATTTGGTAAGAATATTAGTTTAAGGCACCTATAGCATCTTCCACAGGCTCCTTTTAACATGTTGACAAGCCTCGCTAGAGACCTTTCTTTGGGGGAAGAGTGGTATCAGCAGTCAAAGGCCTCACCTCTTCCCAGGGCCACAGTTCTCTCTTGCCTTAAAAAGCCAGTTCCTCCAAGTCTCATCAGGTAAATGGCTTCCCAGAACTTCTCCCAGCATACAGATCCTATGTCCAGCAGAGATACAAGGCAGGTCCCTATGCAATTTAACCTGAGTTGGGGAGAAGGCAGAAATCCAGAACCTAACCTGGCAAGGGAGCAGTGGGCAGAGGTAGCAGTGCCAGAGCCTGCAGAGAGGTGGCCATCTCTCATCATTTCTTCTCTCATTTGCAGGAAAAGAAAGGGCAGGAAGTACAGAAGGGCCCAGCTGTGGAGATTGCAAAATTGGACAAATTGTTGAACCTGGTGAGAGAAGTAAAAACCAAGACCTGAGGGCTGCCCTCAGTACCAGCTATTGCTTGAAGCCCCTGACCCTGGTACCTAGCCCAGCCTCAGCACTCAGCATGTGACCCCATCTCTGACCAGGCCCCAGCATTTGTCCTGACCTCTGCACTTTATTCTAGAACTTGGCCTTCAACTATTATTACCCTCTCCCACCTTGCACAAATAAAACTGTTTCTGGAAGCCCATCCCCCAACTTTGATTTGGCACAGGACTCTCAGGAAGAGAAAAATCTCAAGTTAGAGCCATCATTCAATTTATTATCCAGCAAACAACAAGAGGACCAAGGGAGAGGCCCAGTCTGGACACACTCCCATTATTGCCATGTTTTCCAGTCTGCTTCCCCAACTAGAGGTGCTCAACCTAGGAAAAAAGGGTGGTCCTAGTCCTGGCCCTTAGGGTAGAACAGAGTCCATCACTGACCCTAGCACCAACTTATAAACCCCCCACCCTAGGCCCACCTTCCCAGGACTGCTGAGCCCTTCTTGGAGCCAGGCTGGATAGACTGGGCTGCCAGGTCCAGTTCCAGGCAGGCCAGACTTGGAGTTCTGGACCCTAGGCTGGGTGAACTCTTGGATCCTGATTCCAGGCTCTGGGCAGGGTGGACTTAGGTTCCAGGCTTCAGGCTGGGCCAGGGGTCTTCAGGGCTGCAGTAGGTAGCTGCCTTCATGGCTAGGCTTCTGGGGTGGGGGTGCTTTCTCAGGACAAGGGCCAGGGCTGGAGTTAGGACTAGATTCAGAAAGGGAGTCAATGTTGGTAGAGCGAGAATGGCAGGCCCAGCAAAGAATGACCCAGAGCAGCAGCAGCAAGAGGCCTACAAGACCATTGCAGACGATAGCGATGAGGGCCCCTTGGGAGATGGCTGCCCCCATGACGGGCAGCAGCCTTAGATCAGCACAGAGAGTGGAGCTGCCTCAATGGCAAGTCCCATGCCGAGACAGGACTCTGGTGTGACCGGTTTCCAAGGACGCTGTCCTGGCTACACACTTGAGGATTCCTGGTCAGTAGAGATGTCCACCTGTAGTCCTGAGCCTGTCCAGGGTACAGAGCAAAGGAGAGAGTGGTAAGGAGAGAGGAGTGGGTCTAGTAGGAGGAGGGGGTGGGGCAGAGAACCCTCCTCCCACATCTCTGGCCCTCCTGGGTCCCAGCAGGCCCCAACACTCCACAGAGCCGGTGCCCCCATGCTCCCGCCTGGCCCTAGGCACCTAGGTGTAGCTGCAGACTGTATCTCATCCCCAGTGGAAGCAGAGGGCAAGGCCTGGCCCTGCCCACTGAGCTTCCAGTACTCAGAAGCTCTGAGAGTGGGTGTGAGTTAGTCTTAGGCCTCACAGGATAGAGTGTGGCCAGTCTGGTGTGGCCTGGGTGCCTCCCCCATCTCAGCACTTCAGCCAGCCAGCCCAGGAGACCTCCAGAGGTGCCAGCTCACACAGAGGGAACTTTGTGGAGGCCTTGGCAGGCATGTGTGGGTTCTCTGTACCCAAAGCTGGGTACCTGGGTGTGCCTCTCTGTGCGACTCTTTCTCCAGGTCAGGTGCGTGTGTCTGGTTGTCTTACTCTGTCTCCCCTGAGCCTCTGCCTCTGTTTACCCATCTCTGTGTTTGCATGTGACTGTCCTCCTGTGTGTAGCTCTTTATCTCTGTGTCTCTGTGCGCCCTCATCATTCAGTATTGAATGTGTCTCTCTGTGTCTCTCTTCTCTCCGGATCTGTTTCTTTGTGTTTCTATCAATTTCTAGATCTCTTTCTTCCTGTTTCAGTGTCTAAGGGATTTATGTCTCTCTTGATTCCCAGCTGGCAGCTCTCCTGTTCCCAAGGACCTGAGTCTCTTGCTCCTTCCCCGTGGGGGTCTCTCTTGTCCCCTGTGGGTCTCTGGTGTGTCTGCCTTTGTGTCTTTCTCCCAGGCAGTGAAAGTGTCTGTCTCTGTGACGGTCTCCGTCCTTGAGTCTTTGGGTCTCGGCCCCCATCCCCGTGGGGGAAGGCGCCCCTTACCTGAGTTGAGCCCGGTGCACGCCCGCGGGAAGGTCGGGGCAGCAGGATGCTCGGCGCCGACTGAGGCTGTGAAGCTTGCGGGCAGGCGGGGAGTGGGGGGTGGGCGGCGGGAGGCGGGAGGCGGGCAAGGGGCGATGTCCCCTCCCCTGGCCCTCCCCCTCGGCCGCGCAGCCTCCGCCGGCTGCTCCCGCCGCTGCGCGACCGGGGGGAGGGGGGAAGCCTCTGCCGCGGGCGGTCTGCGGCGAGCAAGCACCTCCTCCCCCTGGGGCGGTGCCTCCTCCGCCGTGTGGCTGCTCCCTCGGCGCCGTTCGGCTGTGTTCGGCTAGGCTCGGCTGGGCTCGGCCGGGCTCGGCCGACAGCAGAATCAGCGAAGACCCCCGCCTCCTGTGAGAGTCAGAAGCCGAAGGCCTGCCGGGGCGGGGCCATTCCTGCGCCGCTGCAGCCATCCAATTGGCTAGCTGCGTCAGGCTCCCCCACCATTGGTTGTGTACTGGGGCTGGTCCGCCCCTTGTACAGGCTGGCTTTGGGCTGAGGGTTGAAGAGGCTATCCAGTCTTGATACCTCCCAAGAGTGGAACCCCACTTTGTAAGATATCTTGCACCTGCCGCACCTGGAAATACTGACTATTCAACATCTGAGAAAGGTCTCCAAGTCTGGGACAGGTCTCCTTCCCCACTTGGTGGACAGCACTGTGTCTCCATACCTGGGAGGATACTAAAAAGCTCCTCGTCTTGAATTTCTGTATTCCCTTGAAGTCTCACTCCCACCTGGGAATGGGCTCTGCTTCTCCACTTTAAAGGGTTTGTAGTTGGTACTACATTCCCTGCCCCTGGGAGATTCCTTCGGTACACACTTACTGAGTTCCCGCTTAGTGTTGGCTTGGGTTTTTTGCTGTGCTGCGAGGGCGGGGACAGTGGGGCTGGAACAGAGTAATGAGATGGCTCAGCCCTGCATGGAATAGAACCAGGAATAGTGTAGAGAGTGAGTCCATTCTAGAAGCTTTCCTAAGAGAAAGATCAACTTGAGAAGAAGCACAGATGGAAGAAAGGCTTTCCTATCCCCGACCGTCATATGTCTGATTCCTCCAGGTCTGTTCTGGTCCCTCTTTTCATTCTTTGCTCTATATTCTCAAACGATGATTACATCCTTGCAGTGACGATTCCATTCTTGCAGTGATGATTACTTACTTTCTTGAAGCTATTTGGTGAAGACCTCAGGTGCTCCTAAATGCTAGACTTAGATAGCCAAGTGCCTAATGGAATCATGGGTTCTTTTTTTTTTTCTTTTTTTTTTTTTCTTGGAATCATGGGTTCTTGGTCCTGCCATTTAACTAGTTTTGTGAGTTTGAGACATTATTTCACTTTTCTTAGCCTCAGCTTAGACGGAGCCCCACGTAAAATAATTATAGTAATATGATTATGGTAATAGCTAGCTCTCAGGATGATGGTTCACTAATTCAGTATACCAAATGAGCCACGTTTTGGCAGATATGCTGACAAATTTGGCAAATACCTTTAGCCACATGACTAAGGCACCCTTAGTTTAAACTGGCTGATTTTTCCCCCCTCAAAAGCAGATTACTACCAAGTACTCTATGCAGACATTAGAAGAATGATTTGGACTCATAATGTGGAAAAGAGAGAGTAAAGGTGTTTGAGTGTAAAAGCAAGCAGTAATAAAGAGATGAAATGATGCAGAAGATTAGGAGTAGAGAGTATTGAGGATATGTGGGAGCTACAACTGGCAAGTATGAGAGACCTATAAGAAATGAAGGGTAAGAGAAAGGGAAATGTGTTTGACACTGGTAGGGAGGGAATTCAAGTATCTAGCATATAGACAAACCAGTCTGAGATTCAGGAGAGAGGTCCAGGCTGGTGATAATATGTTGTGAATTATCAGAAATCACCTAGCGAAAGTAAAGACTGGTTTAAACCAAAAGAAAACTTTCTAATCATATACTAAAACCCAAAGGCAAAGTGCCTCAGGGACAATGGGATGAAGAGACTTAAAATCTATAAGGGGGGAAGCTATCCATTATGTTGTTGTTGTTGTTATGTGCCGTCGAGTCGTTTGCGACTCATAGCGACCCTATGTACAACAGCCCTAAACCCTGCTCTATCCTGTGCCAATCGCATTGCCTCTGACACACCCATCCCGATTACCCCAGTCACTGAATCAATCCACCTCATAGAGGGTCTTCCCCTTCCCCTCCTGCGCTGTCCCTCCACCCTCCCAAGCATGAAGTCCCTCTCTAAAGACCTGTCTCTCCTTACAACATGTCCAAAGTATGTCAGACGAAGCCCCAGAATCTTTGCCTCCAAGAAGTAGCCTGGTTTAACCCTCTCTAGGATGGATCTGTTTGTTTTCTTGGCAGTCCATGGAGCATTCAATACTCTTCTCCAGCACCACAGCTCAAAGGTATCAATTCTCCTTCTATCCTCCCTAGTCGTTGTCCAACTCTCTGATGCATAACAAGTGATTGCAAAGACCATGGCCTGTATCAGATGCACCTTAGTCTCCAGAGAGACACCGTTGCTCTTGAGTACTTTAGAGAGGTCCCTAACAGCAGACTTTCCCATCGCAATACGTTTTTTTATTTCCCGACTGCTGGGGGGAATTCTCCACTACTCATCTGTATTACTTTCTATTATTTTTCTTTTCTCCTTCCTCCCTTTTCCTGAGCCTATGTCATCTCCTCACTCACACAGTTGCCTTCCAGTGGTCATCTAGTCAAAACATGGTGAAAACCACTATTTAAGACCATCCTTACAGTCTTAATGTCTCAGTATCTGAAGAGATACTGGCTTTTTTTTCGAGTTGCAGTACTTGATGGGAACTTAGTTGAAAGTTCTCTGAATGTCTCAGCTTAATTAAAGGCTAACTTCTGGCTCAATCAACTGTGTTCAAGGATAAAGATTAAATGTACTAACATAGCCCACATTATAAACCTGTTGACAATGTGGGGGCTAGGAGAAATTTCCAGTAAAAGAGTGATCCTGAAAAAGAAAAATGCTTGCTACTTACTATAGTGCAGCCCTTAGTTGCCCAATACAAACACACACATGAGTTTCAGGTATATAT